AAAACTCCATTATAACATTTAATACAAGGCCCATAGAAAGGGTAGATAAATTTAAGTACTTGGGCATCTGGCTCTCCGAAGATTGGACATCAGACAAGGAAATTAAATGTCGCATCGAACAAGATCGTCAGGCATTCTTGAGGTTCCGAAAAGTACTTGTTTGTTCTTATTTTCACCTTAACCTCAGTTACGTGTGGTCGGTGCTCCTTTATGGTATGGAAGGTTGGACATTGAAAGCAGCTGCCATTAATAAACTAGAAGCTTTCGAGATGTGGCTATATCGCAGAATTCTGAAGATACCTTGGACGGCTAGGTTAACAAATGAGGAAGTTCTGATTCGTGTTAACAAACAGCGCGAATTGTTTGAATTGATGAAGAAGAAAAAAACCGCATACTTGGGGCACATAATGCGAAACCCCAAATATCAATTCTTGCATCGAAGGCAAGATCGAAGGCCGGAGGGGTATAGGAAGGAAGAAAATGTCTTGGCTGAGGAATGTTAGACAGTGGACAAGCTTACACGATGTACAGTCGTTGATAAACACCGGCACCGCCAGGAATAGAGAAGAAGATGGACAATGTTATCGCAAACATCCATTGATGGATTCGCACTAGAAGAAGAAGATTGTTGTTCACACGTGTTACAACACCAAAGGTTCCAACGTAAACCATATTCCATTTAATTAAGTCTAAGATAATTTAGTTATTAATTAAAATAATAATGTGATGATGTAAAATATATGTCGCAACAACAAGAACATTTAAATGTTTACATAGCCGCACGAAATCTCGTTACGACCATTAATAAGGTCGAAATATTCAAGCAGCCACGCCTTCTAGATTACAGCAAGCCGGAACTACAACGATCGGATATAATTAAATTTAGCAGGACTTTCCAGTCCAGCAGAAGGGAGCTTTAAACAGATCACAGATATCTTTTTACTGCTTACACCGAACAAATTAGATCACATCACCTCGAGGTCCAAGGCCAGTCGAGATCGGAACGGTAGGTATGTTGATATACACAGGTAGTCGCTTGAAGTGATTTTACAATTGCCCGATGAAGCGTTAAGAAACAAATTATTTATAGAAACACCTAAACTGATACAGGATGTGTTGCCGTCGTTTAATGAGCAAAAATGAGATCAGAATTTTGTCCGTAAATATTTTGTTGTTTGTGTAATTGCTCCATTATTACAGTGAGCTAAATATAACCAAATTTTTAGAGTATGGTCGAGAGTAGGGTTAAGTGGTGTAAAAATGATACTATTTTCAAAACTTTTAGTTTTTTTTTCTTAGTTACAACATAAGATCCTAAGCCGGGTCCAGACCAAGCAGACAAAACAGGGACAAGACAGAAACATTTATGTTTTACGACAAAGTAGCGAGCGATATTTTTGTCTCATTTTTGTTTTGTTTCCAAATTCGGAGAGCACCAGCTTAGAGAAGATTTGTTTAGCACTAAATATAAATTCGGTTAATGATGTTAATAAGAAAATAACAAATATTAATAGCTATATAGTATACGGGAAAAATAAAAAAAAATTATTTGGGATTTCTTTTTACAACATGGGATGGTGAGTCAAAGACAACATTACTGGCTGCTAGTAATATATCTTTATCTTCATTCTGGTGGAAAGGCCGTGTGATTAATAAAACTGATTCGCATATACTGAACTTTGTTATACTTTATATAATATAATAAAGTAAAATAAAATAATATAATATAAAATCACTCCCGTCTCAAAATCGTGTTCACTTTCTCTCGCTTTGGTCTGGACCCGGTATAAGGTTACTAGTGGTTACCACCATTTAAATACAAAAGTATTTCTTCTGTAAAAGGTATTTGGTGGTAACGAAACTATTGCAAAGGTAAAAATACACCAAAAGTACCCCTAAAAAGTTAACATATAGAAAAGGGTGTCTCATATTTAATCTATAAAAAGTCTAGAAATGAGACTTGATGGGTTAAATGTCAGACAGTCACAAAATGTACGTTTAAAGGTCCTGCTATGGTTTATATTAAATGTTGAAGTAAAGATGAGTCTAGAAGAATAGAAATTAGACATAGAAATTTATATTTTTTATTAGTAGAACACAAATAAAAGCATCTAAACTATTAAAGAACACCTACATATAATTCAAATGAAAATACAGTAAAAATACACCGTCCCAAAACATTTATAAACTGAAAGTGTAAAAAAGTATATCAAATTAAAAACAAAGAAAGTATGTAGTTAATAATTGACATTAAAATATTAATAGTATCACTATAAATAGTGGAATAAAAATACATCTATACCAGTTAACGAACTAAATATTTCTCAAAATCTATTGAAAGTCTTCGCAGTCCTAGAAGTCCCGCCTTGCAAATTTGATTTTGGTAATTTTAAAACAATGTCAGTAACTACACTTTTGATCAATATGAAAAGCTTTGGACGCGAGTATGCTGAAGACCAGGTCGCGACAATAGTAAGTTTACATCTCCCCTGCTGACTACCTTTACGCAGCCTTTTTAGGATCCCTCTCTATATACTTCTTTGGTTTCTTTACATGTTTTTTGTTATTTTTGAGTTGAGACCAATAATTTAAAAATATACATGCTTAGTTGTATAGTATCCTACAACCATGCACCTTAACCTATCTAAAAAAGTAGCAAAACTAAAAAAGAAAGTAGCAAAAACTAAAGTAATATACAACGAAATAGTAGACAAAAAAGACATTCTAATAAATAACACTACACTGGAAATAGTAGAAGAATATATACAGGGTGAGTTTCCTACGATGTTCTCTATGGGTATCTCGGAAACTTCGGATATTTCGAAAAAAACAAATTTCGGCTATTTTAAAAATTTGTTCCTAACTCCATTATAAGCTATTTTAGACAAAAAGTTCTCAGATAAAAGTTGTAGATAATCACATCCTTTATGAGACTGTGCTCTCCGTTTTCTTCTAAAGCCTGTCATTTTTGACATATGACACAAACATATGTTTTTTAAATGAAAACCATAGTTGGCCATGACTTCATAAAAAGCGCCATTTTTTAAGCTCTTCGAAAAATTACAGTGTTATAGCCAATTCTTATCATTTTTAAACAATTTCACTTAGTTAGCCATGGAAACAAGTTTAATTGTATTTGCTCTCAGAAATGTGAAGCTGTCACATCCAAATTTTGTAAATTAAAATAAACAAAAATTGTAAATATGAATTTTTCAAATGAAGAAAAGCGTGTAGATACTCCCGCATCAATAGAGTGGTTCCAACATGACTTTTATTACGACCCCCCCCCCTCATAATGAAAGAAATGTTAAAAATTATTTACATCATAATTATGCGAACTCAGGAATAAAAAGAGGTGGACCAATTGCATGGGCCTCCTCGATCACCTGACCTATCCATTTTAGATTTTTTTTTATGCGGTATGGTTAACAATAAGGTTTACAAAAGAATTTGTGAATTAAGAGAGGCACTCGAAGTGGCGGTACGAGAGAAGTTTAATTAAGTCCACCTTCTATGAGAATAGGTAGTAATTCAGTTTCAAAAAGATGCAACTCAAATCATTGGCGGATTTTCTAAAATAACTTAAAGAGTATGCAGTGGTATTATTTTTTAAGTTTTAGTTTGTGTAATGTAAATAAGGAACCGTTTAGTAATATATTCTAACTTTTTATAAGTTTTATAAATCATAATAGAATATGAATACCATGCAATCCAATTGAAAATAATCAAGAAAGATCAGAATTGGCTATAACTAAATGTAACTTTTCTAACATGTCATGACCAACTATGTTTTCCATTTAAAAAATCATATATTTGTGTCATATGTCAAAAATGACAGCCTTTAGAAGATAACGGAGGGCACAGTCTCATGACGAACGGAGGGCACTCTCTCAGGATGTGAATATCTACAACTTTTATCTGAAAACTTTTTGTCTAAAACAGCTTATAATGAAGTTAGGGACAATTTTTGAAGCCATGAACTTTTTCAAAAATCTGAAAGGCGCATATTTATGACCCCACAAAACTGCAATTCTTTCTCCATTTAACCGACTCTCTATCTCCAGTAGTTTCCGAGATACCCATAGAGAACATCGTAGGAAACTCACCCTGTATATTTGGGACAACTAATACACAGCTCGGGATCTCTACTGCCAGAAATCAAAAGAAGAATTAAGTTAGCATGGAGTACTTTTGGAAGAAACTCAATCATATTCAAATCTAGAATACTACTTTATCTAAAGAAGAAAACATTCGACCAATGTGTACTACCAGTCCTGACCTATACATGCGAAACCTGGACACTTAAAACTGACATTATAAGAAAATTGCAGGTCGCACAACGCTCAATGGAACGAAATATGGCAATAACCAAAATAGACCGTGTTAACGCCTATCGTTTTTATATTATTTTTTATTATTTTATACTGTTTCATATTATTTTATATTATTTTTTTTTTGTTTAATGTAGTTCACCTAAATTTTGTAAACGTAGTCAACGTAATTATTTGATTGTACGGTGTAAACGCACCAATATGCGTTTGACCTTCAAATTTCTGACTTCTGTAAAAATTGTTGTTCGGGTAGCACGGCCCGTAGCGTGCTCTTAAATATAAGTCGTAAAAATTTAGTTATTTGTCATTATTTTATAAAAAACAAAAGAAAATCCAGCGTATTAACATATGGTCCTTCGAGCCGGATAAAAAGTTTGTGAAAAATTGAAGAAATTCGTCAAAAATCATCAAAAAACTGAAAATTCCAGTTAACCAGTGGAGGATTCATCAAGGTATCGATTTGACGTTGTAAACCTACGTCTGGTCTGTTGGATCGTCCGAGACGCCGGTGGAATTTTGGAAACAGGGATATGACATCTTTGTCGCTCTCGATATAGTCCGGTGAGTCCTTTCTTTTTTTTCCTTTCTATTTCGTTTAGTATAGCTTATCTCTTATCGTATTAGTCATATTGTGTTTTATTTTTCTAAGAATTTTGGTGGTATTTTATAATGGCAGACCTAAATATTTTAATAAGGAAAAGAGCCGCGGTAAAATCAAAATTAACTAATTTTACTAATTATTTGGATCGTATTCAGCAAAACGCGATAAATGTAAAGCCGTCGGAAGATGTTGTAAGTGAATTACAACTACGTTGCGAAAAGGCATCAAAATTACTAGATGAATTCGAACAATTTCAGTTAGAAATAGAAGTAAATTCTGATGATGAAGAAACTCAGCAAAACGTACGCAGCGAGTTTGAAGACGCATATTTTAGTATTATTACGGCTGCTAATCAATTCATAAAAAAGAATTTAGTTTCGGTAGAAAATGATTCTGAGGGAAGTGCTTCAGGTGGTTCGATTGCATCAGCTGGCGCGTCCACTTCAAATACACAGGCTATAAAACTACCTACAATTCAACTTCCGAAATTTGAAGGTTTTTATGAGTCATGGTTAGAGTTTAGGGATACGTTTGAATCGCTGATTCATTTAAATTCGTCCATAAATAAAATACAAAAGTTTCATTATCTGAGAGCTTCGTTAGGTGGTGATGCTGGACAGGTAATTAAATCGCTAGAATTTTCAGCTGATAATTATGAGATTGCCTGGAACATCTTATGCGAAAGATATAATAATACAAGATTGCTAACCAACAACCATATTAAATCCTTGTTTAATTTAGACTCCATTGCAAAACGATCGTCGGATAAATTGCGAAATATGATCGACAGTGTTAACAAACATTTGAGAGCCTTGCAAACTATGGGTGAGCCGGTCGAGTCTTGGGACACCCTCTTAATTTATTTAGTAACAACAAAGTTAGATTCTGATACATTGTCTGAGTGGGAACAAAAAAGGGATAAAAAATCGTCAAAATTAGGGGATCTTATTTCATTTTTAAAAAGTAGAGCTGATATTTTAGAAACAATCGAAATCGAAACGAATGCCAATAAATCGCAAAAAAACACAAATAAGTTAAACACAAAGTCCTTTTTCACCAATAATATTAAGTGTGAATTTTGTGAGGGAGACCATTATATACAACATTGCTCCGAATTTAAAAAGTTAAATGTAAATGCACGTATTGAAAAAGTAAAAAATTTAAAATTATGTATAAATTGTCTAAGAAAGGGACATTATAGCAAAGATTGCAAATTCGGACGTTGTAGATTTTGCTCTAGTAAACACAATAGTCTCCTTCACATTGATAAAAGAAATACTACATCTAATAACAATGAAAGATCAGTTTCTGTGGCGTTTTCATCGAAGCCGAGTATTCCAGAAAGCCAAGTTTTATTATCAACAGCACTTATAAAAGTTTTGGATATTCATGGTAAATATCATACGGCAAGAGTGCTTCTGGATGCTGGGTCACAATCGAGTTTTATAACCACAAGTTTGTGTGATATATTACAATTAGAAAAAATTCATATCGACATTAAAGTTGGCGGGTTTAACCAATCAATTTCCAATATAAATTCTAAATGTCAAGTTAACGTGTCATCCAATCAAAATAAATATAGGACTGTAATTTCTTGTTTAGTAATTTCAAATATCACAGGAAGTTTACCAAATTTTAAGGTTGATGTTAGTAAATTGTCCATTCCCCCAAATATTCGTTTAGCAGATCCAGGGTATGACAAACCCGACAGAATTGATATGCTTTTAGGTGCGGATCTTTTCTGGGATTTAATTTGTGTTGGTCAAATTAAGCTGAATAAAAATGGACCTATTTTGCAAAAAACTCGCTTTGGATGGGTGTTAGCTGGACCTGTAAATTCAATACCGGGCACATCTATTCAGTGTAATTTCTCCAAAAATATTTCAGAAAACGATTTGCAAAGGTTTTGGGAAATTGAGAATTTTCCAAATAATAAAATTCTTTCCAGTGAGGAGAAGTATTGCGAGGAACATTTTGTTAAAAATACTTTTCGTAATGAAGCTGGTCGCTTCAATGTAACAATTCCCTTTAAAGGTGATATTTCCAAATTGGGTGATTCAAAAAATTTAGCGTTGAAAAGATTTTCATATTTAGAGAGAAAGTTGCAAAACAATGGAATGCTTCGTGAATTATACTGTAAATTTATGCAAGAGTACATAGACTTGGGTCATATGAAGGAGATAGGGAATCAGTTTGACGAGTTGGTTTCCTATTACATGCCTCATCACGGAGTTCTAAAAGAAAATAGTTCCACAACAAAACTGAGAGTTGTGTTTGATGGGTCAGCAGTTACTAGTTCGGGCTATTCGATAAATAATTTGCAAATGGTGGGACCAACCATTCAGGAAGATTTGTTCTCGATATTATTGAGATTTCGTAGTTACAATTATGTTTTTTGTGCTGATATTGAAAAAATGTACCGTCAGGTGGAGGTGAATCATGATCAGTGTCGATTTCAACGCATTTTATGGCGTTTCAACCCATCTGAACCACTAAAGACGTATGAATTGAAAACCGTAACCTATGGTACAGCATCTGCGTCCTTTTTGGCCATAAGAAGCTTATACCAATTAGGCATCGATTGCGAAGAATGTTATCCAAATATATCTAATATCATAAAGCGAGATTTTTATGTTGATGATTTAATGAGTGGTGCTAACTCAGTCGATGAATGTATTAATTTGTGTAAAAGTCTTGCAAATGTATTAGAGAAAGGTTGTTTTAAACTCAGGAAATGGCTTTCAAATAGTCCTGAAGTTATGGTTGCTTTAGATGAAGAACTTCAATCTTCTGATATCGTTAACATGGGAAAACAGGAAAACACTAAAACATTAGGTTTATATTGGTCAAAAGTTGATGATTGTTTGCTTTATTCAATTTCAAATTATATTTCGAAGGGGGTAACAAAACGTAAAATTATATCAGATATTTCTCAAATATTTGATCCTCTTGGCCTTCTTACTCCTTGTATTATTATTGCAAAAATATTAATTCAGAAATTGTGGTTGGAGAAATTGAGTTGGGATGAAGCATTGCCATTAGTTTTCCAAACTGAATGGGTGCATCTTCGAAATGAATTGGTGGTTTTAAACGAACTGAGAATTAATCGTCATGTTGTATGTAGTAATCCTATTAATATACAGTTGCACGGATTTTGTGATTCCTCTTCAGTTGCTTATGGTGCTGTCGTTTATGTTAGATCTAAAGATGCAGACGGCAACATTTGTGTGAATTTACTTACCTCAAAATCCAAGGTTGCTCCATTAAAAACATTAACAATACCTCGACTGGAACTGTGCGGAGCACTTATACTTTCTCAATTACTACAAAAGGTCAAAAATTCTGTTAGGTTTCATGTGGATGACATATTTTATTGGACCGATTCCACGATTGTTTTGGGCTGGCTAAGGACGTCTCCTCATCTGTTGCAAGTATTTGTGGGAAACCGAGTTGCACAAATACAAACCTTATCGAATATAGACAAATGGCATCATGTTCCTACGAAATGTAATCCTGCGGATCTGTTGTCTCGGGGAGTCTACCCTAAACAGTTGTTACTCATGGATATCTGGTGGCATGGTCCTGACTGGTTACAGGACGACGAGTGTTTATGGCCTAATCTAGAAATTTACGAAAATAACTTACCTGAAATGCGAAAACAAATTGAGTCTCAACTTACTACTAAAAATTCTACTGATTATTTTCCTTTTGATAAATATTCTTGTTTTTACAGATTAAAGCGTATAATTGCTTATTGTTTAAGATTCAAACATAATTGCTTGAATTATCATTCAAAAAAGGTTGGTTTTGTTAGTACTGAAGAACTAGATAACGCTGAAATATGTCTATTAAAAATCGCTCAGAGTGAATGTTTTAGTTCTGATCTTTTTTATTTGCAAAATGGCAAACGCGAAAACATAAATAAATCATTGCTAAGTCTAACTCCATTTTTATGTCCACAAGGTCTTATTAGGGTAGGGGGAAGGCTGTCAAACTCGAATTTTAGCTTTGATAAAAAACATCCAGTGTTATTGTCCTCTAAGCATAAACTTACGAAATTATTGGTTAATTCTGAACACAAAAGGCTTTTACATGCGGGCCCTCAAATGTTATTGGCATCAATCCGTGACAAGTATTGGCTTTTAGGTGGCAGAAATTTGTGTCGTCATGTTGTTCGTTCTTGTGTAGGATGTTTCAGAGCTAATCCGAACGTGACTACCCAGATAATGGGAAACTTACCTGTTCAGCGCCTCACCCCTGCATATCCTTTCTCAAAAACGGGTGTAGACTACGCAGGACCGGTTCTTATTAAAGATAGACAAGGACGTGGTTGTAAAGTCACAAAAGCATATATTGCGGTATTTATATGTTTCTGTACAAAAGCTATTCATTTAGAGCTAGTATCGAGTTTAACTACTGACTGTTTTATAGCTTGCTTAAATAGATTTTCTGCTAGGCGAGGAAAACCAGCTGAGATGTTTTCGGATAATGGTAAAAACTTTTGCGGTGCCAATCATGAGTTACGAGAACTTCATGAATTTTTTAAGGTTAAGGGTGATGATATTGCTGCTAAGTCAGCTAATGTAGGAATTCAGTGGCACTTTATTCCGCCTAATTCTCCTCACTTCGGAGGACTTTGGGAGGCCGGCGTAAAGTCCACCAAATTTCATCTTAAACGGGTAACATCAAATGCTTTAATGACTTTTGAACAACTTTATACTTTATTGACTCAAATAGAAGCTATACTAAATTCCCGTCCCCTTATCCCTTTGTCAAATGACCCAAACGATCTTACCGCAATCACTCCTGCCCACTTCCTCATCGGAAGAGAGTTGACCTCAGTAGCCTCGCAAAACTTTGAAAATATTCCCGAAAACAGACTAAACATCTTCCAACGCATCCAACAAGTACGTCAACACTTTTGGAAAAGGTGGTACAAGGAATATATATCTGAACTCCAACAAAGGTTGAAGTGGAAGTCAACAAGCCAGTCTCTGAAGTGTGGGGACATTGTTCTCGTAAAAGATGACAACTTACCTCCCTTGAAGTGGAAGCTTGGAAGAATCACTCAACTGTATAATGGGTCAGATGGTGTTGCACGAGTCGCCTCGATAAGAACTGCATCTGGTGTCATAAAACGCGCATATTCAAAAATATGCCCACTTCCAATCAACTACAACGCTTCATCCCAGGATGGACAGTGAGAGTGAAGGTGTTGTGCAATTGTTTCATTTGCGTATAGATGTTCTGTTATATGTTTTTATTGTTTTTATATGTTTTGTTCTGTATTTTGAAAGATTGTCCTTTCAAGGCGGGGGGCATGTTAACGCCTATCGTTTTTATATTATTTTTTATTATTTTATACTATTTCATATTATTTTATATTATTTTTTTTGTTTAATGTAGTTCACCTAAATTTTGTAAACGTAGTCAACGTAATTATTTGTTTGTACGGTGTAAACGCACCAATATGCGTTTGACCTTCAAATTTCCGACTTCTGTAAAAATTGTTGTTCGGGTAGCACGGCCCGTAGCGTGCTCTTAAATAAAAGTTGTAAAAATTTAGTTATTTGTCATTATTTTTACAAAAAATAAAAGAAAATCCAGCGTATTAACAATAATAACTACGATTAATATTATGCATATTATTAGATCGCATACTGAGATTTCAAATTCACAATAAAAAACTTAAAAATAATATCTTTAAATTTCTGACCTGGATATTGATTATTTGAATTTTCCAATTGGCTCGATTTTCCTTCTTCAATGTTAATTAGCGCTGATCAATATTGTTGCGATGAATATAATCAGATTAAATAATTTAAGAAACCAGAGTCGGACTTGAAATTGTTTTAAATAATAATTAAATAGTTTTGTTGGTGTTAAGGTATCCAAAACAACAAAAGGTATAAAGTATGGCATATCATTGTATTCAGGAGACCGAGTTCTTTCAAAATCTGAAATAAAAAATGCAGGTCCGTATTTAAAAAAAATAAGTTGGCCTCTGTATCTCACAAATTATCAGCTAATTTGAAAATCTAAAAGTACTATCAGATAGCCCTAATAAAGTGGCTATGAGAATGTGCAATTAGTTTTTTGATTTTGTAAAAAGTAACGAAAGAAAAAAATAAAATTGATTTTCAAAAAAATCAGTTTTTTCGAAAAAACTCAGCAATCCTTGAAATTTTTAAAACTTTTTTGATAGCATCTTGGTGAACATCCCAATACGCAACTTTGCCCCAATTTAACCATGTTCGTATCTATTACGGTTACCGAGATACCAATGCTCGTACCTCGAATTTGTAGCACCCTGTATAGACTATTCATAGTTATTCTTTATACAAGACGATAAAATGGTATTTTATCGTCAACCAAATTAATTTCGGGAGAGGATAATGCAATTTTATCGTCGTGTATAAAACAATATTTTGTTTTCCATAGCGAGTTACGTTTTAAAAATATTCAGAAATTATTATTTCAAGGAATTTATTACGAGTAGAAAAAATATTGTGCTGGGTTGGCGTTGGTTTCTATGTAATTTGACAAATAAATAAAGCTGTCTCTTTAGTTGTCAGTTTTCAGTCAATATTTTTAGCCGACCATACCAATAGGTATATAAAATACCTATCGGCAAAAAAATTTTTTTTTTAATTTCCCTCAAAATAAGTTATTTGGGTCATAAATGAACTAAATACAAAATATTTTCATGGTGTCTGTCTGTCTGTCCGTCTGTAACACGATAACTCAAAAATCAATAAACCGATTTTAACCAAATTTGGCACAAAAATACTGTGGCACCCGAGAATCTGGCCGTTAGTTTTTGGTGGGGGTGGGGGGTTGGTAAGGGGGTATGTGGGAGGGGGATACAAATTTTAAAAAATCATAACTCCAAAATTACAGTAGCTAGCGAAACGCGGTTTTCAATTTAAGATTAGTAATAATATTTGCAACAAAATTTGTAATAACTTCAAAATCAGTCAAAGTCGCAGTTTTTGAGATAAAAAAAATTGGAAAAATTCCTTTACTTTGAAACAGTTCTTTTACTGCCTACCAACTTTTTATTAACATATTTTAGTATGGGCGGCTATACGTGCCTCCCGGCGCCAATTTTTTTAATTCTCTTTTGTGTCGATCACAGTGTCGATTGCTGATTGAATTGGAGCCAGAAATGGCTCAAAACGAAATAAGTAAATTACCAACAGATATTAAGGCTGAGGCGACAAACGTCATATCCAAACTACTTCCATTTAAATCTCGAATAACTTATGAAAAGGAATACAAAAATTTTCAAAAATGGAAGCAAATAAACGTGCAAGAAGAAATACAGTTTTTAACCTATCCTCGCTGTTAAAGGACTATTTTATCTACTATTTTAACAGTTGCTATGAAAAAAAGGTATTTTAAACATTTCGGTTGATGTTACATAAGTGAAAGTTTTATTATAATGTTTATATTTTTTTCATTCTAAATTAAGAGAAAATCTGTAGAAGGAAATTAGTTAACGTCAATCATTCACTCCATAAACGCAATTCCAAATTGTACAGGATCGCAAACCGTGTTCCTCGTCGCTTCCTCTATAATTAAATCGATTGTTGTTACAAAACTAAAACAGACACTTCTTATTCACGCCATTTTGGTAAAAATAATTCTGCCATTCTCTTCGGTGCGAACGCGTTTTAAAGGTGATTTTTTCGTGGAAAATCATTCGTTTCAATTTTACTTTCAATAAAACACAGGATATGACTTAATTATTATGAATAGCGACTTTTTCTTAAAAGATTTATACCGGGTTATATGCCGTTATTTGAATCACTCAATAAATGATCAAAACTCACGTTTTTTAGCCTACCGTACCAACAGGTATGGTAGGCTATTAAGATCGGCAAAAAAAGTTTTTTTAATTTCACTCAAAATGAGTTATTTGGGTCATAAATGACCTAAATACAAAATATTTTCATGGTGTCTGTCTGTCTGTCCGTCTGTAACACGATAACTCAAAAACCGCTAAACCGATTTTAACCAAATTTGCCACAAAAATACTGTGGCACCCGAGAATCTGGCCATTAGTTTTTGGTGGGGGTGGGGATTGATAAGAGGGTATGGGAGGGGGTTAAAAATTTAAAAAAATCGTAACTCCAAAATTACAGTAGCTAGCGAAACGCGGTTTTCAAATTAAGATTAGGAATAATATTTGCAACAAAATTTGTAATAACATCAAAATCAGTCAAAGTCGCAGTTTTTGAGATATTCCGTGTTTTCGTAGTCCATTTTTGAGAAAATCCGTGCGGAGAACTCCAAACTCCCATCGGACGCGACCCCAGGTGGCGGATAGGGGAAGTAACCGCGGACCAAAATTGGAAAAAATTCCTTTACTTTGAAACTAAAAGAACTGCCTACCAACTTTTTATTAACATATTTTAGTATGGGAGGCTATACGTACCTCCCTTCGCCAATTTTTTTTAAATGATTGAACATCATTTCGTGTTTATCTGGAAGTATGAGCCTAAGCAAAGTATTTTAAATATATCTCGGTTTTGGCAGTATTTGCATAAAGTCTAAAAATTTTATTTTGCAATTATGTATATATCACGTTTTTTTTTTCAAAATGGTGGCGTAAAATGGTTTTATTCCAAATCTTCATAATAATCACGTCATGCCGCACAGTGGAATGACTAAATGAGAACACAGAGACATTGTGAAATTTTAAAAAATGTAGACTTATATTTGCATTCATGATAATGAAAACAAATTTTTATACTTGAAAACATAATGATTTATATATATTTATTTATTTCTGTTTACAAAGTTATTTTTTCTAAACAGCCAAACAAAGATAATTAATAAACTTCAAATCTCAATTCTCTATATGTTAATGAATTTTCTATACAGTTCACTTAAAATAAATATAAATAAAACATGTACCGGGTATCCCACTAAGAATAGCTCTCGGCTGTATCTCGGAAAGTATTAGCCGTAGGGCCTGCGGAAAAAAATATTTATAACTAAAGAGACTATGAGAAATTGCTGGAAATTATTTTCAAGTTTGTAGAACAACCGCTAGGGGGCGCAACTGCAACAAAAAATAAGAAAATGGAGTTTTTATACAATTTTGCCTAGATAAGATGTACTATAAGTAATATAGTTACTATAACTAGATATAATGTACTATAAGTAATAGCTTCATAATTTTCAGTAAATTTTGAATATTTTTTGTTAGAACCATTTTCCCCTATCTACCATAATAAAGTGGTGGGGGGAGGTTAGATCTGTTTTTATTTAAATTTTAATAACTCCGGACTGGATGATCGGAATCCAACAAGCGAGGGCTCCTTTAAAAGAGGGTTTCTTACTCTATATTGTACCATAAAAACAATAATAATAAGCTTTTGAACGTAGACGCTGGGGGGCGTTGTCTTACAATTTAACAAACATTGTGCGTTTTTTCAAAAAAATTAAAGGTGATAGTATATGTAATTTTAGCTGATAGTAAAGAGTAATAAAAACTTAACAAGTCAGCAAAAACAGCATCTTGATATCTTTTTTCAACCCAAAGTTATTAGCAAAATTATAATAAATACGAAAATATAAACACTTAATTAACCTTATTTTTCTAACATGGTATTACTAGCCCTCTTGATTATGAACATTCTGACAAAAAAATAAGATATAAATGATTAGATTATTCTAAAATCGACAATATACCAGAATACCATAATACCAGATGTATTAATATCTAATAATTAAGATATCAATGACAGTTAATAAGAAACGACGCCTCAGTGAAGTCATGGTAGGCTTTGGAAGAATGTTACTTTTGACGTAATAGTATAAACGTCAGAGTGTTATTAGATCAACATTTTGACAGTCTTAGCAGCGTTTTTTCTCTGTTGAAGAAAGGCATTTTTAGAAAGCCAATCAAAAGATAAAAAAAGGCTGCTGAGACTATCAAAATGTTGATATAATAATATTTTGATGTTTAAACTATCCGTTTAAAAGCAACTATTTTCCAAAGCCTACCATGAATTCACTGAGGTGTCGTTTCTTATCCACCGTCATTGGTATTTTAATTATTAGATATTAATACACCTAGTATTATGGTTCATTGTCGATATTTTGAATAAAATAATCTTTTCTATATTATTTTTTATTAGAATGTTCATAATCAAGAGGGCTAGTGATACCGTGTTAGAAAAATAAGGTAATT